TCGAGGTCTTCTGTGGTTCTTACAGTTGTGGAGTTTTTTTAGTCCAGGGTTATGGGATCACATATGGCAAGAGCCTTCTTGCTAGTGGGTACTCTCTGCAGAGTTCTGAGGCAGTGCAGGGCATCACATTGCAAGGGTTTTTTTAGGAGTGGATTTTAAGGATATTAAACCAAGGAGAACGAACTTCAACACTTGATCAGTCCAACTTTATTCATATGACTTCATTTAGCAGACACTCTTCTTTTTTTTGTTACCTTGTGCAGCTAGCAATTTATTCTAACAATTTATCTCTATTTTTTTACTTGGTTAATTGATTTGGTTAATTGAAACTTGGGCTCAACAGCATTTTTTTATTTAATGAGACTGAGATTCTAGAATTTCCTTGGTCTGACATAGATTTTTTTTCCAAAATCTTCAGGAAATTAGAATTTGGGAATAGTCTATCATATTTTTTTTCCAGAAGATACTTCCTTCACTAAAGTATGAGAAATAAGTGAGAGGTTTTTTTGAGTCTTTAAGGAGTTCTGTGGTGACTGTTATGTAGATGGGATACCATGGTGGGAGGTGCCACCGCAACACAATTATTCAACATTTGGTTGTCTTCTTTTTTTTCTTCTTCTTTTGCGTGTGTGTGTGTGTGAGAGAGAGAGAGACAGATTTTTTTTTTTGTCACCCAGGCTGGAGTGCAATGGCGCAATCTCGGCTCACTTTTTTTTCCGCCTCCCAAGTTCAAGCGATTCTCCTGTCTCAACCTCCCAAGTTTTTTTTATTACAGGCGTGTGTCACCATGCCCTGCTAATTTTTGTATTTTCATTTTTTTCAGAGTTTCACCATGTTGGTCAGGCTGGTGTCGAACTCCTGACCTCCAGTGATCTGCCCACCTTGGCCTCCTAAAGTGCTAGGATTACAGGCATGAGTTTTTTTACCCAGCCGTTTTCTGCTTCTTAAATCTTTGGTTCCAATAAGTAATTTTTTTGATCAGTTCAGGGCATGACAGTTCATGTAGGGTGGACTTCTCAGATTTTTTTAGTTCAGGTTAGTGGTTTTAACAATGCATTTATTTATCATATTCATTTTTTTATAAAAAGACTCTAAAAGAAACTTTAATAATTATTTTCTTGATTTTTTTTTTTGTATTCTGGCATGCTTCTCCAGAAATTAAGACCTATTTTGAAGTTTTTTTTTGGTATTAATTAGCTGAGGAACTTTAAGGAAACCATTTAACCTACTTTTTTTTCAGTTTAATCTCAAAGAGAAAATGAAGTTATACACAGAAAATTTTTTTTTTATACCTGGCACTTAGCAAGACTTAACAAACAACTGTTATCATTGTTTTTTTTTCATTTTCCATCTCAGGTTGTCAACTGACTTATTCAAATAAAACATTTTTTTCCCAAACTTATAGACAGGAAATACTCAACATTAACTCTACTGTTTTTTTTTTCCTAAATGCCCTCTCTTTCTTTATTCGGTGTTTTTAAACTTTCTCTTTTTTTAATATTTTGGCTACATCTGAATCAAATAATATGATTTTGTTTAAATTTTTTTACTTTTCCCAGCTTAAAAAGAATAGGTTATGCCTCACTAGGAATATTTTTTTATTCCTTAAATATCTTGACTGATGATTACTGACTTGAGCTGAATTTTTTTTTACTGCATTGAGGCTGTGGCCCAGAAAGAGAGATGTCATGAAAAGGTTTTTTTGGAGTCCATTTGTGCTGATATGTCTGCTGCCCTCTTGCTAGTTGTTTTTTTTCCTGGGCAAGGCAATTATTCACCAAGAAAGTGGTTTTAGATCTTTTTTTTTTAGTAGAAACATCTGTTTTATGGCCGGGTGTATGGCTCACGCCTGTTTTTTTTGCACTTTGGGAGGCCGTGGTGGGTGGATCGCTTGAGGTCAGGAGTTCCAGACCACCCTGACCAACATGGCAAAATCCTGTCTCTACTAAAAATACAAAAACAGTCAGGCGTGGTGGTGTGTACCTGTAATCCCAGCTACTTGGGAGGCTGAGGCAGGAGAATCGCTTGAACCTGGGAGGCGGATGTTGCGGAAAGCCGAGATTTTTTTACTGC